CAAAAAACTATGGTCTTTAGTGGACAAAAACCGCTAAGCTTAACATATCATTAAGAGTAATATAATAATTTTAGATCACAATTTTCAACATGGAAACTCTAGTCTAAAAATTGAATTCGTAAAAAATAATAGTATAAATGATACAATTGAAACATGAAAAATTAGGGTTCACAAAATCCAAACAACAAATCCAAAATTTGTTATGCCCAACCACTAAATCTTATTTAAAACTCATTAAGCTTAACAATGTAATTTCAAGTGTCAACTTTCATATAAGTAATGCATGTGTGGGTAATTGACGACAAAACAATATAAAAAAACTTTTTTTAATGTAGTTAATAATTCTATTATGAAATCTCATTCTGACATGAAGGATACGATTTCAAATTAATATCGATACATGTATATATAATTATATCAAGTCATCTAGTTCTCTTAAAAATCTCTAAAGTTAATGAATCATGTTATTGATCAGCTTCGAGGTTTATCTACATTTTAAGAAAGCTATTGCGATAGCCGTAAGCTCATTCGTTCCTTATGGTCTCCCTAGTCTTGCTTACCATGGTTACTCATCCCTCGGTTGGTTGTTCTTGTTACCTTGTCTAACACGATATATTTCATTGTCCTTTGTTCGATCGCTGAATTAAAACTCATGTATAGGAAAGTATATTACTCCTTCTAGTACTACTGAATGAAAACTCATTTATGGGGAAGTATATTACTCCTTCTAGTACTACAGTCTATAGTCTCTTATTGAACCAAGAGAAAATCAAGATTTAAGAAAAAAGAAAAAAAAACCATTGGTATAATTAATAGTAGTTTTATAGAGAACATTATGTTATCAATATTGAACTACGCTTCATAAAATATTTCTATGTAACAAACATAATGACAAAGAATAAAGTTTTACACAATGACTGCATAAAAATACACACGCATGAGACCCGTGACGTGATTTGGGTTCGTTATACATGTGCTAATTTTGATAAACTCAGGATATGCAAGGGTTTATAATTTTAAAATCATCAGACTACATAATTAAATAACAAATCACTCAACACCTGTAAATCAAAGTACACATGAATCAACAAAAAACTATAGTTAAAAAGTTAATAACCTAATTATTTTAAAAAGAGCTCAAAAAATATTTTAATAAACTACGAATGAAGTGGTTTGTTATGTAAATTTGATTAGAAATCATGTGTAGATTTCTCAAAAGAAACCATTACAATCCGAGGAACAACAAAAATGATCTAAAAAAGGCTATACGGTTTTCTTCTTTATTATTATTTGCTCTTAGCAGCAAATTCTTTCACAATCTTTGTTTGTTGCTTCATGTTCACGTATTTGAAGCTCTCCTCATCGTTAGTCTTCTTGTTTTTCGCATCTATTTTTTCTTTCCATTGTTGGTTATTACCCAACACCGCAATCCCAAAAACGTGTCCATATGTGTTGGCAATAATGATTAGAAATCATACCTTAATTTGTGTTTGATCATTGTTATTCTCATGAATGTCCTTGAACGTTGAGCTAAGCTGAGGAATTAATCCTCAAATAATAGATAATTAAACCTAACAATGCTACATGACACTAACGTGGTATTCATATTCAAAGATGTTTATACTTAAATCCTNGTTCGGCTACTCATGTTCTCGACTTGTAACCGGTTATATGATTTGAACCTCTTAACAGTTTGCAGAAACTCATGCATCCCTTCCAGCTTGTAGTATTTTAACTCTCTTTGTATAACTCTTTCGGCTCTCCAACCCCCACTTTTCAGCATCCTATCATCCAGTAGACTTTAGTATAAAAACAATCAGTACATCAATTCATATTATATTCATAAAGCGACCAAGAATCGAAAATAATGGTTTAGTTAACCTAAACAAACATGAGAAGTAGATCAATTGTTCGGTTAACGTGACATTGAACAACGAAGTGAAATAACCATAGAAAGAAGATGCATTGAATGGGTTTTTTCAAAAAATGAAAATGGAACCATAGGTTCACCTGGGTTGATATCCATTCTCTCGTTTTCAGATGTAAAATCATCTATGTCCCAGCAAATATATTTGGAACGCATGAGATGTTTGTGAGATAAAGTCTCTTGAATATCTTGAAAGTCGTATAAAACATCCAAATTCTAACAAAACAAAAACAAAATGATGATTAAAAACTATGAAAAAGAATACGAAGTGACCAACAAAAAAATCGTTAATAGCTTGATATTATTGTAAAGTCATTGCAAAACGAACTAATCTCAGTGAACAATTTATAGAAACTCGTTGAATTATCCATAAGCTCACCATCCCTTCATCTCCACCAATACATGATTAAAATAATCAAGGCAGTTTCTACCAATAATCTCTATCGGTTACGTGTTGCACAAAGATCAAGCTTATAAACGAAAAAACTAACCTAAGATAGTTCCTCTTTCTCCTTTCTATGAAAGATATCTTCTTCCGCATGAAACAATACCAAGAAAAACAAAATCAAAACCATCAGCATGAAATATTTTGACAATATAAATAAAAATAAACAATAATATAAAACAAAAGCAAAAACGATAAGCAACTAATTTAAAACATAAAATAAAAGGACTCTATATTTTTGAGAAAGAGAATAATAAGGTATATATATATATAGAGTTTTTATAAAGTTATTGTGTAATTATCAGAAAAATTCAAACAAAAAGAGAAACGATGAGAGTAACAAAATTCATATGTGGATTACTGCTCATATACATCTGATAGAATGAAAAATAAAATTGTATCAATAACTGAATATAAACACAATAAACACACTGAACAACAGAGAAGCACAACTCATACATACAAAGGTGAAGAGGAAAAATCTAACGAAAGTAAAAAATACATAAAAGTGGACTAAACCCTAATACTATAAAAAATCATTCATATATTTATGTAAGAAATCATAAACCTAGCGGAATCATAAATATAAGACTAAATAATAAGTTGGGATAATTCTAACCTTCCATGAAGAAGATCGCGAACCAACCCCTGATGATGGAAGAACACATACCACACGTATATCTCCTAAAGAAGTTGGAAAAATTCAAACAAAGATTTAAAAATCAATAAAATAGAAACCTTTTTATGAAAAACATCAATAGACAGCATCTATGAATACATATGGTAAATTAAACCACGTACCCGATACCATGACGAAACG